ATTTACTTTAGGAAGTTAAATCTATTCATGTCAAATTTATTAATTTATAGATAAATTAGTAGTTTTCATATAAGAAAAAAATCTACAACTTTTTTTGTAAAGACCAAATTATTGTTAATTAAGGTGTCACTTTGAATAATTTGGGGAATTAACTTTTTAGCTGCATTCACTTTTATATTTAAATTAAGAATAGTTTGTTATGAATAGTTAAATAAAATTTTCATTGATCTGAATCCTAAAGAAAATAAGGAAGCATTTATCCAATGAAAGGTACTCAGTAAATCGGCTTGCAGATTAACTGCGAAGGTTATTTGGGACTCTATAATTTTAAAGTGCAATGGGCCATTTATCTATTACTTCTTTTAAAAAATCTTTATTTGGTCCATGTCTTTTTATGGACATTCTTATGTAAAATTATGTGGTAGTCTGTACTATCTTTAGGTTTCTTCTGACTAAACTGGTTTTGAAAAGCTTAAGATATAAGACATTCTAAAATAAATGGTTGATTCATTACATAATATTCTTTAGGTATTAAAGAAAGTTAGAATTTTTCATCCTTTGGTCAGGCACTTGTGGGGTCTAAAATATAACTCTTTACAGTTAACATGCAGTACATGCCAGGGAAGAAAAAGTGTTTAGGGTTGTCCGGCCTCATAGAATGAACAAAGGGTAAAGGTAGAAAATTAATCAAGTCCACAGGCATGACGACCCTAGTCTGTTTGAGCTGGCAAAGGAACTAATAGTGCTGCCATTCAGCACTTAATTTATGGGGTGCTTGTGATATTTTCAACTGCTTTAAAGTTGAAACTGTGTACCGCAATCTCTACTGCAAAAGAATATTTCTTTTTTCCAAGTTTTCAACTAAGAGATTAATATTCTTTCTATAATGCACACCATCTGTTTTACTAAGTTAACAAGTTATACACTTATACGTGTATCTCAGTCAGAGCTGTGGTTCCCAACCTGGCTGTAAATTAGAAGCTTTGGAAAGATCACTACGAGAGCCACTCCCAGAGATTCTGGCTTAAGGGATTTGATCTATGGAGAGGTCGGGGGAGTGTTCTTTCTTGTAGATCCAAGTTAGATTTCAGGATTTGTTTCTTCTGGAAGCTATGATGCAGTGGTGATTTGGGTTTATGGATTTTTTAAGTACTATAGAGCCACATTATCTGTTAAATAACTCTTTGGGAACTGATCTAAAACACCAAACAATTCTTCATAGTTCCTTCTTTTAACAAACAATGTGCCTTTGTTCCTAAATGATAGAATTTATAGCCAACCTGTTGATAAATTAGGAACTGCTTGTGTCTTCAAGGTCACAACACTACACTTTGTGTGTGTCAAAAGTCAGTCAGCATTTTATAAGAAAAAAAAAGAATCAATGATTTTAGTGAGTAACTACCATGAGGAAGGCACAAGCAAACAAAGAGATTGTCAAACAAGGCCAGGAAATAAAGTACAAAACCAAAATTTGTGAAATTTTTAATTTTGGGTACTCCACAGGGAATGTCGTGGTTCATGACTTTTGTGTTTTCTGAATAATAAAATGGATCAGAAAAAGATAGATTATTCAGAAAGGAATATGGCTTAGAAATAATTGTGGAAATATGCTGGAGGGCAAAAAAACATGATAAAAGCACTTTAAAAAGGCAAAACATACATAAGAGTAGAGGATACTTTGTAGTCAATACTAAGGGGAGATGAGGAGGATGAGGTCAGGTAGGTGCTTCCTGAACTGCTTGTAAGTTTGATCCACTGGTGAACCCATGAGACACTAGGACAGGTTGGGACCAAGAGCAATGCAGTAGTGGAACTGTTGTAGGCGGCGAGAACAGCACCAGGTGTCTGACCCGGGAGTCAGGCCAGACTTGGGTTCGACAACCTCGGAACTTGAGTTCTGGCTGAGAAAGAATTCAGAGCCAAGACTCCAACTCGCTAGAGAAGATTTATTTGGAAAGCAAAGAGACAGAAAATTCAAAGAGAAATTTTGAGTGGGCAGCTCAAAGAGCTGTCCTGGGAGTGGGCTAGGGTTCCTTCTAACCCCTTGGAGGGGGGCTAACTGCTTTCTTCTTTAAACTGACCTATCAAGGCCTGTTCAGTCATCTTCTGTCCTTGTATGGAGGTTAGATGAGGCTTTCTTCCAGTCCCCTTGTTCTCCTCTAAGGGTGGGGGTCTACTACATGGCTAACCACCTGCCAGGGAAGAAAAGTTCCGGAGAATCTGACCTATATGACCAGAGGCTTCTAGGGTGGAGGAGGGGTCTTAAGGGCAAAGTCCTTAATAACAATATTTATCTCCAATACCTGCCATTCTGGGGTTCAGAGGGGGTCTCAGGGGTGTGGTCTTTCGTATTTCCAGTATCTGCTCTACCAGTTCTTTTTCGTTGTTAGGTGTCCAGGATGTTCCGCCCTGGCGACCTTCTGTAACTGGCCTATTGTCCTTGCTCTGCTCATGTCTAACTAACTGCCTACCTCATAATCATGTCTACATCCCACCAGGCAAACTATCTTTCCCTTTATTCCCATTTACACAAGGCAAGCACACACGCACACCTCCCAAGGGCTGCTGCGCACGAAAGTTGGACTAACCCTGTGTTGTCTGAGTATAGATTAGGCATTTGAGTGGAAGTTAAGGAGAGACGGGTTTAGGTTTAATAGGAAGAAAAACTTTCTAAAAGGCTGTCAAAACCAAACCAAACCATAACACCTGCTTTGCCCTGCGCTCAACCCATGGCTCTAAAGGTTAAAGCATGAACTGAATATTATCTCTGTAATCTTTCTCTATAGAAATGATGATTGTGTTTAGTATGAGCTTGTCCTAATGGTCTTCAGTGGTCCTTCCAAATCTAAGTTGTGATGGTTCTGTAGTCCAACCTCCTCTCTCCTCCATAAGCAACCAATCACCTCAAATTTCATTCTGTATCCATTTGGTTAAAAAAAAAAAAAAAAAAAAAAAA